AATTTTTTCATATATTTCATCGATATAACCACGACGTAATGACCAATTATAAATACTATTAAGTAGAGTACCTAAACTTCCTTCTTTCACAGGATCAAGAGAATCTATAAAATTTCTCCTTTGTGAAGCATTGGGTCCATATAGAAACCATGCTACACAAGCACCAGTCACTGCGATACCTACTGATGGAAGTGATTCTAATGCAAATTCTATCCAAGTTCTTTCATGTAATGGAATATGTGTTGTATTCAGCCACTGTGCAAAAACTTCGGATCCAGATGTACCTGAAGGAAAAGGAGCACCTAGTAAACCTATAAAAATAGTAGGAATACATAAAGCAACTAAGGGAGCTACCATATTTATAGTAGATTCATGAGGATATAAACCGTTATGATTCTCAAGAGTTATATTCTTTTTATAACCATCATGAAATTTTTTTTTTTTATAATCATCATAAATACCTCCCCTAAAATCCCCTTCAAAAGTTAAAAAGTACATTCTAAACATATAAAATGCAGTCAGTCCCGCAGTTATCCAAGCTATCCATCCTAATATGGGCATTTTTTCCCAACTTTCAGCAAGAATTTCATCCTTAGACCAAAAACAAGCAAAAGGCGGAATACCACATAAGGATAAGGTCCCTATTAGAAAAGTAGTGCCAGTTATTGGCATATATTTCCTAACGCCTCCCATATATCCCATGTCTTGGCTTTTATTAGGATTATATCCGACAACACCCTCCATACCATGAATAACAGAACCGGAACCTAAAAACAAAAGAGCTTTAGAATATGCATGAGTAATTAAATGAAATAAACCGGCTTGATAAGACCCAATACCTAAAGCAAGCATCATATATCCCAATTGTGACATAGTGGAATATGCCAATCCTCTTTTTAAATCTCTTTGCGCAAGAGCTAAAGTAGCTCCAAGTAATGCAGTAGTTACACCTGTAATAGCAATAACATCCATTACGATTGGTAAATCTTGGAATAAAGGCAATAATCTAGCTACTAAAAAGATCCCTGCAGCAACCATAGTTGCTGCGTGAATTAATGCTGATATTGGAGTGGGACCTTCCATCGCGTCAGGCAACCATACATGCAATGGGAACTGAGCAGATTTTGCAATTGGTCCTAAAAATAACAAAATAGCACATACTATAGCGAAATTCATATTAATAGTACCATCAATTAAAAGTTGATGAAATCTATTTGCTACTGTGTCAAAATCGAAGCTACCGGTAAGCCAATAAAATCCTAAGATGCCTAATAATAATCCAAAGTCTCCTATTCTATTTGTAATAAACGCTTTTTGGCAGGCTGAAGCAGCACTAGGACGAGTAAACCAAAATCCTACAAGTAAATAGGAACACATACCTACTAATTCCCAAAAAGCATAGACTTGTACTAAATTTGGACTTAATACTAAGCCTAACATTGAAGCTGTAAATAAACTAAGGTATGCAAAAAATCTTACATATCCTTTGTCATGTAACATATAACCATCAGTATAAATCATTACTGCAATACCTACAGTAGTTACAAGAACTAACATAATAGAACTAAGTGGATCAACAATATATCCAATATCTACTGAGAATGTTTTTGTTTGAATCCATGACCAAAGTTGTATATGAGCAGAATGTTGTATAACTTGTTCCCAAAACATGCCAAAGGATAACATCATTGCGATACCTAGCATACCTATGCTTACAATAGCAGAGGGCCATCTAAGGGTACGAGTGGCACGACGAAATGAAAGTAAGCCAATTCCAATGATTAGAGCAGCCAAAGAAGGAAGTATTGGCACGAGCCAAGCATATTGATATGTTAGTTGCATAGTCGCATATTTCAAATAGTTTACATCCCAAGCCTCAATTTTCCATAGATTGTTAAGAATGCACAAAAGAAAAATTGTGCATTATAACTATACTAGTTAAGAACTTATTTAATCAATCGTTTTATATCAATTTTTGTATTTAGTCTATATAGGAAAAATTTCTCTATCTTTCTACCTATTAAAACTTTTTATACTATATATTTCTTCTATCTTTCATATAGAAAATATTTTTTTCGAATACTTATTCGAATCTTTTCTAGAAAAGATTCTTTTTGATTATAATATCTTATAAAGACATTTAATCTAATTAAGATAATATCATTAGTAAACTATTGACATAAAATAGTGATATATATTATTATATGTCACATAAATTAATTTTGATATTTTATGTCTTTTTTTTTATTGGAAATAATTCTATGAATACATATGCAATTCTTGAAGCAGGAGGAGAACAACTGCGTGTAGAGCCAGGTCGTTTTTATGATATACGTCTTCAAATACCAATTGAAAAGTTGTCAAAAGAAAGAAAAATCATATTTTCTCGAATTTTAATGATTCGTAATCAAGATGATACATTTATAGGAAAACCTTGGTTAGAAAATGCTACAGTAAAAGGACGTATCTATCATCATCGTCGTGGAAATAAAATTATAGTTTATAATATGCGTCCTAAAAAACATACATCTAAAAAACGCGCACATCGTCAAACTTTAATGCGATTTGTAGTTGATGCTATTTGTTTGAATAATGAAACATTGAAATAAATTAAAAGCATACAACACATGCCATCCAGAATTCCTTCTTTTGTAAATAAGAAAAATTAATAATTTTTCCAAAAATCTTTCAATGTTTGATTTGTTAAATAACTTTTTTTAGAATAAAAATATCTTACATTGATACATTCTTTTTTCTGTAATAAGAATGTAACCTCTAAACATAGTTTATAAAATTTTGATTGGATTCTATGAAAATATTATAAAAAAAAATTTTATAAACTATGTTAGTATATATTCAATAAAAATTCTCTTAGAGGAAGTTAGTTCTTTTCTTATTTAGCAAAGAAATTATCTTCAGAATAGTTCTATGTTAAGATATTACAATCTTATTATGTACAAAAAAAATCTCAAAAAATCAACAGTAAAGATATTTGGTAAATATTCCAATATTGAAAAGATTACAGTCTCATTAAGAAATATAGTTTTTTTTATAATCTTTTCAATATTGGCAAAGAACCTTTTTGTTAATTTTCCCAAGTTAGAGTAAAATTTCTTATTGAGAAATTAAATAATTTGCTAAGATATTAGTATTCACAGAACAATGTATTTTTTTTGTATTTTATACTAGTTTTCTTAAAAGATTAAGTTACAAAGAGCAAAGTACTGTGAAAATCAAACAATTTTTTCAACAAAAAAGCTTTTTTTGTAAGAAAAAAAGATAAATTATGATATTCTAAAAAAAATCCAAGTAAGAAAATTTCACCACCTTTTCTTATAGAAAGTGAATATATTGAATTCTATGAATAGAACATATTTTCTTATTAATTGGTATAATATATATTATTATATGATGGTCGATTCATTGTAATAGGTGTTACAATTGTTTTTACTTTTTCACTCCATAACGGAAGTGCTAAGTCAGGATAGAAGCCTATACCTAAAACGGGTAACAAAAGCGATGTAATGATAAATATTTCTCTTGGACTAGCATCCAAACTTATACTGGTTCCAGAAGATTGACTAACGCTATATTTATATCCATAAAATATTTGACGTATCATTGATAATAAGTAGATTGGTGTTAAAATAATACCAATCGCTTCAACTAAAGTAATTACAATTCTAAACAAAGGAGAATATGCAGAACTTGTTACTACTCCCAAAAATACCATTAATTCTGCTACAAATCCACTCATTCCTGGTAAAGCTAAGGAAGCCATTGCGAATGTTGTGAACATAAAAAATGTTTTTGGCATTGGAGAAGCCCACCCACCTAATTCATTTAATAATAAACTACGACTTCTATCATAACTAGTACCTGCTAAGAAAAATAGTGCTGCTCCTATTAATCCGTGAGAGATCATTTGTAACATAGCACCACTTAATCCCAAATCAGATAATGAACCAGCTCCAATTAATACAAATCCCATATGTGATACAGAAGAATATGCAATTCTTCTTTTTAAATTACGTTGTGCTAAAGAAACCAAGGCAGCATACACTATTTGTCCTGCGCCTAAGGCTACTAACCAAGGAGCAAAAATAGCATGTGCATGAGGCAATATTTCCATATTAATACGAATAAATCCATAACCACCCATTTTCAATAGAATTCCAGCCAATAACATACATGTGCTATAATGTGCTTCACCATGTGTATCTGGCAGCCAAGTATGGAATGGGAATACTGGCAATTTCACAGCATATGCAATTAAAAACCCTAAATAAATAAGAATTTCTAATCCTAAAGGATAAGATTGATTAGCTAAAATTGCCATATCTAAAACAGGTCCATTATTTCCCCATAAACTTAAAGTTAATGTTCCTGCTAGTAAAATACGGAACCACCAGCTGTATATAAGATAAATTTTGTTGCTGCATATAAACGTCTTCTTCCACCCCACATAGAAAGTAAGAGGTAAACAGGAATTAATTCTAGTTCCCACATTAAAAAGAACAATAAAACATCTTGACATATAAATAATCCCAGCTGACCACTATACATCGCAAGCATTAAAAAGTAAAACAATTTCGGGTTACGAGTTACAGGCCAAGCTGCTAATGTAGCTAAGGTAGTAATAAAACCTGTTAAAAGTACCAAACCAATAGATAAACCATCTACTCCCAATCTCCAATGAAAATCTATACATTAATCCATGTATAATCTTCTTTTAATTGAATACCTGTTTCATATAAATTATAATGTGATCCAAATACATATGTAATTAAAAGAAATTCTATTAAACAAATTCCAAGAGCATACCAACGAATTAGATTATTTCCTTTATTTGGTAAAAAAGGTATAACCAATCCTGCCAATACGGGCAAAAGTACAATTGTAGTTAACCAAGGGAAGTTCATAATATTATATATAATTAAACTGTGTCCCAGCAAGGCTCTTATAAATTTCAAGAACCTTGCTATAAAGCTATCATTTCAAATTTTTTCAATTGTTTATAGAAATGATTGGACTTAATAAATTGAGTTGAGAAAATAGAAAAATTCTATTTTCATTTCATGGAAAAGATTTTTTCTTATGAACAGTTTATCTCAAATATAAGAGTTTAATAAGCTAATCCCATACTACGAGTAGTTTCATCACCTAGATATACTCTTACACTTAAGAAATCTGTTGGACAAGCAGATTCACAACGTTTGCATCCTACACAATCCTCAGTTCTAGGAGCAGATGCAATTTGACTTGCTTTGCATCCATCCCAAGGAGTCATTTCTAATACATCAGTAGGGCAAGCTCGTACACATTGAGTGCAACCAATACATGTATCGTAAATCTTGACGGAATGTGCCATAAAAATATAGATCAAAAAAATGATGCTTTAAGTTGGATGGTGATAGATTCTATGAAGAATATCCTAATTCTGCTTCAATTCTTAATTTATCAACTTCTACAGCTTAATACCATTACTTAGTATAATGTATAAAACTGTCTTGAGTAAATAGAAAAAATATTTTGCATGTTTAGTTGAAAATCGAATATAGCTATATTTTTCATTTCTATAAAAATTGAGTATTTGTACGTACGCAAATACTAAAATATCCTCTTTTCTTATCATTTCCCTTCGTTTGTTTTTCTAGGGAAATTTCCAGAATTATAGAAATCTTATATCTTTAATCTATATAAGAACTTAAGTAGAATATCATAATCATTATATATATATCTCTCCCACTCTCTACCTTACATGAGTATAACTCTCTACCTTACATGAGTATATATGAGGTAGTTCTTATTCTATAAGAGTCTTTTGAAAAGTTTCAGAGTTTCTTATCTTGTTTTAACAGCTTTGTTTAAAGACATGATACTTATTTATTTTATTTATACATTTTTTTTACTGTAAAATAAAAATTAAGATTCATAAATAACTTTTTATTTGGTACATTGCTACACTTTAGTTCTCTGTAACAATTTTCTATTTTGTCCGGTATGAACTTATTTGTACGCAAATTTCTATACAATTTTTGAATTCTAGTGTTTATAATATATACTAGAAAGGAGATTTTTTACTGAATTTATCTTTTTGTTTATTAAAAGACTGTTTCCTAAGGTTAGTGGTAGTTGAAGCTTTAGAAATTTAAGTTAGGAAGAGGGATTAATATTTATTATCTATATTCTCTATGCTCTAAATAATTTCATTATAAGAAGGGAAGGATTATAATTTAATATACTTACTATCTATACTCATATAAATAAAGAATATAATAAGAAGAGACTTGCATATTAGAAATCCTTTCTCAATTCGGATTGGATTTTATAAAAGACAAGTTTTATTCTTTGTAACCCAACAATAAAATAATACCAATTAATACTAATTAATAGAAAACGGCGATTTTGCTACATAGCTACATTCTATTTATTTTTGTTTATGTATATTAAAGTAGTAAGCTTGGTATATCCGTCGATTAAGTAAAATACAATTCAAGTATACGCTACTATTCACCTCCTTCATAACAAATTAAATCTTTTAAGTTAACTAAAGAAAATTTCCCATAGGAACTCTATCTATATATTATCATTAAGAAAAGCCTCTATCGTATTAGAAAATCGTCCATGGAAGATTTTCCTAATTTACTAATTAATTTCCCTGTAATCTAAGAAACCTTGGAACTATTATTTGCAAGTGCCGCTTGCCATTTCGATGGTCAGGATAGAAAGTTTGTACTTGGTATTGAAATCGATACAACCTAACGTCTGAGGGATTTTCTGACGTAAAATATCCTTGATATATAATAAATCATAAAATATATATTCTTTCCATATTATGGTATACTCCATCATGTGTTATCGGTGCTGTTACTTGGGTGTTCCAAGAATAATTATTACTTTTATATTTGAGTTTTATAGGACTTCTAGTTCTTTGTTCATTTGACAAGAATTTTACTGACTGTGGAGTCCACAACATTTTCCATCGTTTTTAGATTTATTACATTAGAAGGAACTTTGTTAGAAATAGATTAGGGTTCCGTAATATTTTTTTTGTACGATAGCACTTGCTCTTATATTTTTATACCTACTACAAGTTTTCCGATTAGTAGCAAAATGTTTTTTTTATATTTACAGCCACAATGATAAACAGAAATGCAATAACTAACAAAGGTTTTGATATATAAAAACAAAGAATATAGCGATTAAATTTTTACCATAAAACAAAAAATATAGTAAAATATATCAGAACCCCTCCACTCCCAATTCCATCCTAGTATTTATATCATGTTGATCTATTCTGGCTTATAAAGTATCCCTGATCTCTTTTTAGTTCATTTTATTAGATAACTTAATAAAATCTTCGTTGTTTAAACCATTTTTTTCAGTTAGTGAAAAAAATCAAAATAGTATACATTCATTTGACATGCATTTTGAAAAGTTTCATAAAA